TACAAACACAACTGAAACGCTCACACACACACAACTGAAATGCTCACACACATACAAGTGAAATGCTTTGACAACCACAACTGAAACGCTCTCATACATACAACTGAAAATATTACGCTCACACACACAACTGAAACGCTCACACACACACAACTGAAATGCTCTCATACATACAACTGAAAATATTATGCTCACACACATAACTGAAACACTCACACACACACAACTGAAATGCTCACACACATACAAGTGAAATGCTTTTACAAACACAACTGAAACACTCTCATACATACAACTGAAAATATTACGCTCAAACACAACACTAGAAATGCTCACACACATACAAGTGAAATGCTTTTACAAACACAACTGAAACGCTCACATACATACAACTGAAAATATTACGCTCACACACACAACTGAAACGCTCACACACACACAACTGAAATGCTCACACACATACAAGTGAAATGCTCTCACACACATACAAGTGAAATGCTCTCACACACACAAGTGAAATGCTTTTACAAACATAACTGAAACGCTCTCACTCACACAACTGAAAATCATTTCAGTATGTTGTATGAAAGCATTTCAGTTGAAACGGAAGCACATTTCAGTTGAAACGGAAGGTGGTTAGAGTCCCCGCCCACTCCAGCAGGGTTGCCAGATGCCAAGGTTTTCCATCACAAAACCTCGCCAAAAACTGCAAGAATGCACAAAAAACCGCCCAAATTTGTTTTGGCTTGTTTCTCGTTTAAACACAGTGAAATCATTAACAAGCTTCAAAATTACCCATGGTCCCTGTACTTTTGCGTCCATTCGTTTTTCCCTTTTTAACCCGTGATTGAAAAACGAAAAATGATTGTTGTAGGCCCTATTTTTAAAACGCAAAGTTGAACACCAAAATTTGAATTTGAATTGAATACACCACAGGGCTCGACATTAAGGCTTGTCCGGGACAAGTGGATTTTTTGTAGGACAAGTAGCCTAGAAGAGAAAATTAGTTGTCCGACCGGACAAGTTAAATTTCAAACAAAATAAAATGCCATGTTACTTCACGTTATGTGCCACTCGTTACGTCTATTTTACAGATTTAATTTTACCGATTTGAAACGAACACATTTTTTCGCGCTGCCTGTGAATGTCCTGAATGTGACTCACAGAAAGACGCGCGCCAGTATAATGCGCATGCACAGACCGCGCGCCAGAAGTTCTCTTTCGCGCTTGAACGAACATCAACAACACACACAATTAAGCCAAAATGTCATTTGTCGAGTATCTTCATAACATAAGAACAGTCTTATGATGGACATAAAGAGTTGTGACTCGTGAGAGAATGAGGCGCGTGTGATATCCGCGTCTCTGTCCACAGCGGCTGCTCTTAAAGGGCCAGCTACCAATAAAGCGTTCTGTCAGTAAAGTTACTGAAAGAACAAAGGGAACAGAGAAAATTACTCACTGCTCTTGACTAAAGAACTTGTGTAGCTTCAATAAGTAGTAGTCTATATATAATTTATAATTTATGCAGCCCAGACTGTTTGATAACTTTATTCAACTTCTGTATATGTCCTACCTGTTAGACAGTTAATTTTTATCCAGACATCAATGGCTTATTGATCATTATAGGTGTTATCAATCATTTAGTTGTTATTGTTAATTTCAGAATTATCACTAATCTGTGTGTCCATTTGGTTTAGAACCAAACAAGTTGACTCATGAAACCATTTGTTTATTATATCGCAATTGCATATCACAACCGCAATATTGAACTCAATAATCGCAATATGACATTTTCCCCAAATCGTGCAGCCCTAGATAAAATTATAAATCTTTACCCGGACAAGTGACTTTTGTGCATGGACAAGAAACATAAATTTACTTGTCCGAAGGACAAGTGCCTCAAAAAGTTAATGTCAAGCCCTGCACCAAATGCTACGCAAAAAAATAAATGTTGAAGTATTTTCCGACTTTTGTATGTGACTTTTTGCCCCTTTATTAAACATTTAAAGTATTCACAAATTAATATGCAAAAAATTGATTTTACTGGTTTTCTAACTAAGGCCAAACCAGGAAATTATATTTTTCCCGCAGTGCTGAATGAAAAGAGCCATAGCCTACTCTCGAACCATAGAGAGGTGATTTAGGCTATAGGTGATTTATAATCTGAAAAAATAACGAGGCTATACCTCCATCTCCGCTGTAAGGATGGGCCTTTAGAGAGAAATTCATATGGATTACATTATCAGACGGTATTTGCTTTCGATTCGAATTGGTTCTTTAAAAGTGGACATTTCAAGCTTTAGCCTACATAGGCTATATTTTGTTTCAGTTCATTTTTGAGACGCGATCACGGAGACCATGAAAGCTCGCCTGATTGTTTTATTTTTTTTTACAAAAGCACAACGTTTTCTTGTTATTGTAAGTTTACACAAATAAAAGAAGTTGCGAATGATGTATTATTATTTTCTGTATGACCAGAAATTATAGAGTATTTTAAGTTGTTTCCACTGCTGATAGGAAAACGCAAGTGTTCGCGCCTCCGTGCCATGCAGTGCGCGCTCCACACTCGCACAAACCCTTGGATAAGCGTCACAATCTTTTGTTTATTTGTAATAATCTTAGCCCTGTATTATTATTGTCTAACCTGTATTATGACTGACATTTGACGAATGCTTTGTTCCTTTTTTGGATAAAACCGTCTTCTAGCCTAAATGTAGGATAATAATAATAATAATAATAATCGCAATTATTATTTGCAGTTATAACTATAAATGAGTTCACTTAAGACAGTAATTATGTTTCTCATAAAATAATTTATTAATGTTTTATTTTTTATATAACCTGACATTTTACAGTTTTTGAAATGTTTTTGTTTTATGTTTATTTTTTATATGTGAAGTATTTTCTTTTAATTATTATTATATTATACTGAGCTTTTTCCTCCCCCCCAAAAAATGACTTTAAAGATGTAAATGTTGTTTTTTAGAAAATTCAAGAAATTACCAATTATCAAATGTCAGTCATAATACAGGTTAGACAATAATAATACAGGGCTAAGATTATTACAAATAAACACAAGATTGTGACGCTTATCCAAAGGTCTGTGCGGAGCGCGCACTGCATGGCACGGAGGCGCGAACACTTGCGTTTTCCTATCAGCAGTGGAAACAACTTAAAATACTCTATAATTTCTGGTCATACAGAAAATAATAATACATCATTCGCAACTTTTATTTGTGTAAACTTACAAAAACAAGAAAACGTTGTGCTTTTGTAAAATAAAATAAAACAATCAGGCGAGCTTTCATGGTCTCCGTGATCGCGTCTCAAAAATGAACTGAAACAAAATATAGCCTATGTAGGCTAAAGCTTGAAATGTCCACTTTTAAAGAACCAATTCGAATCGAAAGCAAATACCGTCTGATAATGTAATCCATATGAATTTCTCTCTAAAGACCCATCCTTACAGCGGAGATGGAGGTATAGCCTCGTTATTTTTTCAGATCACCTATAGCCTAAATCACCTCTCTATGGTTAGAGAGTAGGCTATGGCTCTTTTCATTCAGCACTGCGGGAAAAATATCATTTCCTGGTTTGGCCTTAGTTAGAAAACCAGTAAAATAATTTTTTTTGCATATTAATTTGTGAATATTTTAAATGTTTAATAAAGGGGCAAAAAGTCACATACAAAAATCGGAAAATACTTCAACATTTATTTTTTTGTGTAGCATTTGGTGTATAGGCTACAGTTCAAATTCAAATTTTGGTGTTCAACTTTGCGTTTTAAAAATAGGGCCTACAACAACCATTTTTCGTTTTTCAATTACGGGTTAAAAAGGGCAAAACGAATGGACGCAAAAGTACAGGGAGCATGGGTAATTTTAAAGCTTGCTAATGATTTCACTGTGTTTAAACGAGAAACAAGCCAAAACAAATTTGGGCGTTTTTTTGTGCATTCTCGCAGTTTTTGGCAAGGTTTTGTGATGGAAAACCTTGGCATCTGGCAACCCTGCTGGAGTGGGCGGGGACTCTAACCACCTTCCCTTTCAACTGAAATGTGCTTCCGTTTCAACTGAAATGCTTTCATACAACATACTGAAATGCTTGCATACAACATACTGAAATGCTTGCATATAACATACTGAAATGATTTTCAGTTGTGTGAGTGAGAGCGTTTCAGTTATGTTTGTAAAAGCATTTCACTTGTATGTGTGTGAGAGCATTTCACTTGTATGTGTGTGAGCATTTCAGTTGTGTGTGTGTGAGCGTTTCAGTTGTGTGTGTGAGCGTAATATTTTCAGTTGTATGTATGTGAGCCTTTCAGTTGTGTTTGTAAAAGCATTTCACTTGTATGTGTGTGAGCATTTCAGTTGTGTGTGTGAGCATAATATTTTCAGTTGTATGTATGAGAGCGTTTCAGTTGTGTTTGTAAAAGCATTTCACTTGTATGTGTGTGAGCATTTCAGTTGTGTGTGTGTGAGTGTTTCAGTTATGTGTGTGAGCATAATATTTTCAGTTGTATGTATGAGAGCATTTCAGTTGTGTGTGTGTGAGCGTTTCAGTTGTGTGTGTGAGCGTAATATTTTCAGTTGTATGTATGAGAGCGTTTCAGTTGTGGTTGTCAAAGCATTTCACTTGTATGTGTGTGAGCATTTCATTATAGTATGTGAATGAATTTGGTTTTATATGTGTATGTGAGAGGAAAAGTACATGTATATGCAAGGTAATTCTGAATAATGTCCCTAGGGGCACCTCATAGGAAAATGTCATTTGAACAAGTAAGTAACATCCACTTTTGTTCTGGTTCTGACATTGCAGTAAATCGCGCTGATTAAATCTAAAATTGCTTATCATATCACGCAAAACCATGCAAATTATACTTTGTTCTCAAATTGTTAATGTTAACAACGTCAGCATTGCGTGACTACATGCAATTCCCTTCCGATATTATCCTTGTTTTCGCATGGGTCCGGTTGCAGTCTCTTTTTTTCTGTAGCCACTCCGAAGTCCGAACGAAGTCTTTTGCATTTTACAGCGGGTGAATCTGTTGTCACTGGTGATTGTCGTTTGAACCTTTCTGGATCCGCCATCAAATTGATAAGTTTAATTATATCAAGTGCTGTGAGAAAAGGCTATAAATCTCCACCTCCAACATCCTCACACGCAATATAGCCTACTAGCCGGGACTCCTCCTTTATGTGTACAGATGTGTGTGTACAGATGTGTGTGTACAGATGTGTGTGTACAGATGTGACGTAATGACTCAATATAGCCTATACTAGCCGAGACTCCTTCTTTATGTGTACAGATGTGTGTGTACAGATGTGTGTGTGCAGATGTGACGTAATGACTCAATATAACCTACTAGCCGAGACTCCTTCTTTATGTGTACAGATGTGTGTGTACAGATGTGACGTAATGACTCAATATAGCCTACTAGCCGAGACTCCTTCTTTATGTGTACAGATGTGACGTAATGACGCAAAGACATGCTCGAATCTCCCGCGGAAATCCACCAGTACCACTGGAATTAAAAACATTATTACAAGCTTACCGCTTTGAATCGAGGTAAGGCAAGCAGATAGTTTTAAACACTGGCTGGTTATGTATTTTCTCAAATATGTATTTCGGATCATTTTTAACCCCATAAAAGCTACGGACTGAAGCTTTAACACTACTGCGATGGTGTTTCTAATACAGTGGCTGTGGGAGTGACAGTAAATGGGACCCTTTTCTCTCTTCTGACTACCATTATCATTATTTATCATTTTGCCGCTATCGTTATTTTCTCTTTTTGAAAGTCATGAAAACACCATATAATAACACTTTATTCTTTTTATCTTATATATGCTTTCTTATCACAAGTTCAGTATGGAGTGCCACAAGGCTCAGTACTAGGACCATTGCTTTTTTCCCTGCATATGCTTTCTTATCACAAGTTCAGTATGGAGTGCCACAAGGCTCAGTACTAGGACCATTGCTTTTTTCCCTGCATATGCTTTCTTAACAGGAGACATGAAGTTAGCTTTCAGATAATGAATATAAAAACAAAATGTTAATACAACAAATTTAGCATGAAAATGAATATGGGGTAGCCAATAAGAAATGTGTTAACAGATGTATACCATTCAAAGACAGTGTGTGTACACTGGAACACTAAATTTGTTTTATTTATTACTTTGAGTTAGATATTTAGATCTCTGGTCACATCAAAGACCACACATACAATAAAATGATACATTTTAAAGTCATATAACTTCATTGTCTATAAGGTTCCAGGCCCCATTGTACTCTAGACTAAAGTTATTCCTGTGGAACAAGGAGGTTGAGGAAAAAGTCCACCTCGATTGCCGCCAGATGTCAAGACACAAAAAAAACGGTGTCTGTCAAATCGGCTGAAGGACTGGCAGCTCCCTCATGCAATCACACTCTCCTCAGACAGTTCCTCCCATACCAGCTGCAGGAACACAAACACACGGAGAAATGTACCTTTCCTTGCATGGATAGTCCCGTCGGAAAAACCTTCCCTCTAAATTACCTGGCTGGGCGAGGGAATGAGGAGTGACTGATGACGAGTCATGTGACGGCTCGCCCTTCACACGGGGCGAAGAGATATAATGACTTTGAGACTTCCAGAGAGAAAGAACATGGAAAGGAATGTGTGAGCTGAAGAAGCGAGCGTGAGGACGAGCGAATAGGTGCGAGAGAAAGGATGTGTGAGTGAGAACCTGAGAAAGTGCAGAAAGAAGAGGAAGGGAGATGACAATGGCTGTCAGTGCTGAATCCATGTCAAGGTTCTTATGGCTATTTCACCCCGCAATATCTGCCAACTTCCTGTCAGAAACGCATGAATCTTTCAGCCTTTCATATGTCTTGTTTTAAGCATAAGCCTCATAAACATTTTGAGTTATGTTTAAAACTTGAAAAATAACTGCCATTGGGGTCATAACATATAAACAAGACATGATTTTAATGTTATTTTTGGATATTTAGGAAGAATTTCTTACTACTGTAGTTAAGATGGTTATTTTTATTTGTACTGCTGAAGAAAAATGGTCAAATTGTGTAAAAATACCACTCATTGCAGGTTTATTAGGCTAAAACAAGAAACAGCTTGCAAATGAGGTAATCAAAAATATAATGACATTAAAATATCAAGTCTCAAGTTAATCTGTCTTGTTTTGGGGATGTTTAGATTTTTTTCAGAACAATAAAATGACACAAAACTAGTTTTATTTATATTTATTAGAGTGCATATTTTGGGCACTCTTAGTTTTTTGGTAAAAAAAAATGCATTTAGCAGGTTTTTTAAATGTTTTACTTGCCAATGGATTTTTACTTGCCAAAGACTTGGCATTTGACTGTTATTTTAGGATATTATATATTGTGTACATATTATGTTCACTGTCAATGAAAAAGTGTTGGTCAAATTGTTTAAAAATGATACTTGCTTAGCTGGTTTATGAGGGTAAAACAAAAATATACTTGCCAATTGGGTAAGACAATGTCAAGAAGACATTATATTTGAATGTAATTTTACTTCTTAAGTAAATATTTATTGTTTTTAGAATATTTAGATATATTTTGTCCTGAAAAAAGACAAAAATATGAAAAGAAAATAATTTGTATTCATATTTAAATATGTATAGTGAACATATTTTGTCTAGTGTTAATGAAGAATGGTGGTCAAATTTGTAAAAACAAAACAAAAAAAACTACTCATTTATCAGGTTGTGAGGTCTGTGGAGCAAAACTTCATTTCCCATAATTCTCAGTGGCAGTGTGAAATTGATAAAATACATAGATAAGATTTTAATTACACACCCTAATAAATGCTACAAAAGCTGCCTGTCAGAAAAACAAACAAACAAAATCATGAAATGAATATGAAATCCACCAACGTACAAGCCTAATTGCACTCTGGAACATCCCAGAAGAACTGGAGTTCAGCAGAACATACAGCCGAAGTCTTACATTTTCAGGATATGCTTGTAGCATGCCTTCTGAACGCTATGTGCTCGAACAGCAGAACACTTTTGTTGTGTTCTGCAGTGCATGTGTCCAATTACATGAGCGTTTGTTTGATCGCAAAACCACTTGTGATTTTTACAGTCCCACAATCCATCTGGCAGCCCATCCCACAACGCACTGCGAATCAGATACACGTGCATCGATCACTGACAAAGAAACATCCCATTATGCATTACCTGGAGAAAAAAAAAAACATTGCGGAAATAGATCCCAAATGATTATACTGCAAATCACTCTATAATGACTCATGTTTTCATCAGTGAAAGAGCAAAATTAGGCTTGGAGGATTTCATTAGAAAAACAAAATGTCAAGCCATCCATTATCAGACGTAATTCGAGCACATATCGTTCAGAAGGCACGCTATGAGCATATGCTAAAGATGTAAGCCTTTGGCACCCCATTTCACATGAATTGAATCAATAGCTTGGATAATAAAGTCGTAAAAGATGATGTGGAATTAGAGTTTTTCTTTTATTGCACTATAGAGAGGATGTGGAAGCTGTTTATTCTTGTATGGCAACGAGTGAGAGAAAAGAATACATCGCCACCACTGACAATTAGATCATTAATTATACTTGGAGCTACACATAATTTGCTGATGTGTACAGCGTTTACAAGTATGTGCAATTCCATATGCGTTTCTGACATTCAGAGAACGTGCAGTCTATCTGAAGTAATATAATGAATATAAAAATAGTTGAGCATTTGTGTGTTGACAAAATGTTAAGAAGTAAGTCAAGAACTAAATTCATTCCAAATGAAAAATGATATAAAGATAAGAAAATAAAGACAGATGGAAATTGTGTGCATTGTGTATCTAAAAAGCATATAGGGTCAAATGCAAAGGTCCTAGTACTGAGCCTTGTGGCACTCCATACTGAACATGTGTTTGACAGAGCAAAATAGTTCTGTGAAAGAAAGATAGTAAGACTGTTTCACCCAACATTTGTTTACTTGTTATTATAATGCTATATAGAATATCATGTGTTTAGCTTAGCAACATGCCTTAGAAGCAACACAGGCTCATTGGAAAAAACGTGCCTGTGGCAACATTTTTGCAAAATGCGAAATACGTATATATCACTGCAGTTTCCAACAGAAATGAACACAGCAAGTACTTTTAATCGTATTCACACGCAATTATGATTACAGGGGCAAATATTGTATTAATAAAGACTTGTTTTCACGCGGCTCCTTGCACAATTATGTTATGACCTCGAAACACTTTTTACCATAGTGCATGATGTGTAAACAAATATATTTTGGAGTTTGCATCACTTAACCAGCTCCATATGTTCGGTTTTACTGTCGTGATACTAAACTTGCGCGGCAGCTCAGCTGGTACAGAATTGTACTTGTGATGCGGAGAGAGAAGAGACAAAAGAGCTCAAAGGCAAGAGTTCAAAAACAAGCTAAAATGCCATGGTTACGATTACGTTTTTATGTCACATTTTCTCTTGTTAACACTATCAGGTAGCTTTAAGGTTTAGGGTTTAGTGTAGGTGTACTTTGTTTTAAAATGGAGCATTAATCTTTTAGCGTCACTCAACGGACATTTCAATTCAGAACTATGGTTATACGTACAAACTCCATATACAAAACGTTGCCATATTCACGTTAATCTGTACCGTAAAAAACCTAAACGTGCACGACGTTTTGATAATATACGTTTTTCCAATGAGCCTGGGCTGCTTAAGGCAGCTGCCCCTCTGTGCCTTCTTGCCACTTGATTTGACATGATTCAATTTCATCTGATCATATGCTCAGCATGTTAATTTAGTCAACAGCATTTGTTTAGGGATGATGAGCAATGTCAGATGTAAAATTATACTATTATGCCGATTATTTCTGTTGTTTTCTTTTTCTTTTTCTCAGATCCCACTTATGGTAATTTCTTGCTCAATCGCCACTACACAAAACCCCCCAAAAGTCTGTATTTATACTAAAAAGCTCATTAGAGGGGAAATAACATTTAGAGGGCTTTATGAGAGAGTGACAAGAGGACGTCAGGATTTATGTGACCTGGTAATGAAAAAGATTGCTAAAGTGTCATCCAATCTGCTACTGCAATGATCCAATAATATGCGTCGAGCAGCCCCAGCAAGAAAGCTGGCATTAACAGCAGTGATCACACTTAAGGGCCATCATGCAGTTATCAGGCCGGCATTAATTCTCCTCGTCACTGACGAGATTTACAATCCCATTCCAACCAGTGAAGGAGGCTTCTGTGAAATCCAGCATAGAGGCTGTAGCCGATTTGCACATAAATTCGCTCTTGGCTAAGCCCCGCCCCCCTTAGTTACTGTTGCTACGTCCGACAAACAAACTTCATCTGGGCTCTGGTATCAACATGGCTTACTGTGACAGCTCTTCCTGCTGAAATTTTATCAAACTTTTATAAAACAGCAAATAAATGTCCGATAGAAGTAGGCAAAAGGGGCTGCAATATACGCTCGAAGGCTATATTCACGACATACAGGTGAAACGCAAGGAACAACAAGGCATCCAAATAGAGGCAAAAGCATACCGGTCACAGTCAAAAAATGAACCACCGCATATCCTACTAATCGAGACGGAGGCTGGGACTAACAATATTATGG